GGGGGGGGGGGGCACACCTTGTGTGCTCGGCGGCAGTCCTGGAAGTGGACTGGAAGTATTTCCGGTCTACTTCTGGGTCTGCCACTGAGCATGCAGGTGATCACCCCTGCACCCCCTGGCTCAGTGATCGGCCACAGAGGGACCCCGGGTGCCCCCCAAGACCCAGGAGGCAACAGTTGCCAAGCCATGGGGTGGGGAGGGGGGGCTCCCCCGGACTCTCTGTGGCAGACCCAGAAGTGGACTGGAAGTGCTTCTGGTCCACCTCTGGGGCTGCTGCTGAGCATGCTGAGGACTCTCCCATGCTCCCGTGGGATGCTCCATCCACCCCACCATCTCAGCATTTATGAGCTTCCTGGTACCTTGAGGTATGTAGAAGAAAACATATGAAGCTGTGTCTATGTCCAAATCGTCAGATCTCTCCAAATCAAATTGGAGGCTTCTGATTCGATTCAGAGAGATTAATGGGTCTCCTGATTCGATTCAGAGATTCAACCACTGAATTGGGTCATTCTTTGTCTTCCTGTTGAAGCTGGGCTACTGAGTAGCCAAGAATGCAAAAGTCTTGGAACTAGAAGTAGCAAGAAGCAAAATGGAGCCTGAGTCTATGGTGTGGTGGTGAGGGCACTTTGCTGAACGAAGACAGTCCAGACTGTCTGGCCTGTTCATGCATTTTACATGAGACTAGGGGATGGCAACAAAGAGCCCATGGCAAAGGGAAGGCTTTGCTTGTGTTCCACTGCTGCTGGGGGCTTTCCACAGGAGATTTGTGGAATGTAAGTTAAGCATTCATAAAGGGAGCTAAGTTCTAATAAATGTTATCTACCTTTTAAAAATATTATTGCAGGTCTGATGGGATATCAGGTAGTCCAGAAACTGGATCAAGGATATAGACTCCCTAAGCCACAGGACTGCCCACAGCAACTTTACAACATTATGCAGAAGTGCTGGAATGCAGAGCCTAAAGAACGGCCCACGTTTGAAACATTGCACTGGCAACTAGAGGATTATTTTGAACTAGACTCTGAATCCTATACTGATGCAAGTGTTTTTGTAAAATGAACTCTTTAGCAAAGACTGAGTAAAATGCTATAATTACTTCAATGAACATGACAAAGTATAACTGAAATCAATTTATCCTTCAAATACGAGGGAGGAGCAGTTAAATTATTAGATGAAACAGGAATGTTATATATTTTCAAGCCTGGGCTAATTCTCTAGAACACTTCATATTTGAATACCAGGAATTATCTTGTAATATTAAGCAAAATTAAACTAAGAGCCTTTTGGAGCTTTGTAAAATAAATTATCTTTCTTTATTTTTACGTTACAAATCAAAAGAATGAACAAGTGACATAATGTTGTTGCTTAATAAGCATTAGAGTTTTTTACTGTTTACTTATTACAGTAGGCATTTGTTATTCCCTTGATTGTTGAATCCCATTGGTTTGCTCTTATGAAGAAATTTGGTTACTCTGTTGCACAGCAGGACCTGTGCTTTGAGCTGTCTTTTTTTTTTTAAATGATCTGTGACTATTATAATGGCAAATCCACAGTACATACCTTGATTGGACTTGGAAAGCACATGACTTTCCTGTAAAGGCAAATGAAACTGATATTACGAAAAAGAAATAGTCTCTCTTATTTTGCAGAAGCAAATGGGATTTTCATGCACCTATCATGCCTTTCTTATAAAAATAATTGCAATTATCATTAGATTCTTAAGGTTGTGTCATACAGTGTTATAGAGTCAACACACTTTTATTATTCCTTGAAGAGCATACAGACATTTTCCAAGTCATAAATTCATTGATGTCTACACAGTCAGATGGGCAGCAGACTGGCTTGGTGGTTATACCCAGAGAGTGGTGGTGGATGTGTCATTTTTGACTTGGAGGGATGTGGGCAATGGAGTTCCCCAGGGCTCAGTCATTGGGCCTGTGCTATTCAACATCTTTGTCAGTGACTTGGAGGTGGGTGTGGAAAGCACGCTGTCCAAATTTGCTGATGACACAAAGATGTGGGGAGAAGTGGGCACACTGAAGGGGAGGGACAGAATCCAACTAGAACTTGACAGGTTACAGAGGTAGGCGGATGAGAATAGAATGGAATTCAGTGCAGACAAGTGCAAGGTGCTGCATCAAAGGGAGAAAGAACCTGCAACATACCTATAAGCTGGGGAACACCCTTTTCAACAACACGGTGTCAGAAAAGGATCTTGGAGTCATTGTTGAGTCCAGGATGGACATGAGCCACCAATGCAAGGAAGCAGTCAGTAGGGCTAACCACACCTTGTCGTACATCTACAGATGCATCACTAGCAGGTCCAGGGAGGTGATCCTTCCCCTCTGTGCGGCACTGGTCAGGCCACAGTTGGAGTACTGCATCCAGTTCTGGTCGCCACACTTCAAGAATGATGTGACTAATCTTGAGAGGGTCCAGAGGTGGGCCACTAGCATGGTCAGGGGGCAGCAGGCCAGGACCTATGAAGATAGACTAAAGGGCCTGAATCTATTCAGCCTTCACAAGAGAAGACTGAGAGGGTATCTGGTGACTGTCTATAAATGCACCAGGGGGGACCAGCGGAAAATAGGTGAGGCTCTGTTCCCCCAGGCACCATCTGGGATAACAAGGAATAAAGACCACAAATTGATTGAGAGCAGGTTCAGGCTTGATGTCTGGAGGCATTACTTTATGGCTAGGGCTGCCAGGCTCTGGAATGGGTTCCCAAGGGAGGTGGTGCTCTCCCCTACCTTGAGGTTCTTCAAGAGGAGGTTGGATAGATATCTGGCTGGGCTATTATGATTCCAGCACTCATTCCTGCCCAGGGCAGGGGGT